AATAAATTGTGAACTTTAATTCAAAGAAAATGAAGAAATGGACAGTTCCTACACTCTGCTGCATGATTTGGAGAGTCACTCATACTTGTTCCAAATACTCTAAGTCTCACAAGATTGCTATTCTCCTTGTGTGTGTTCTCTTCCCTGAAAAGTCACAGACCCTAGAACCAAAACCAAAGCTGGGGCCTCTGTACGACCTCCTCTGGTTCTCTGCTCTCTCCCAGCAGGACCTGCAGCCAGACCTCTAATAATTCAGTGATTTTTTCCAGCCAGACTGACAATGCAAACATAACAGTGCTGAAGGACATGTACATGACAGGTGTTCAATAAAAACTTGCTGGTTATTTAAAAGGACTCCTTTTAAAATCACACTCTAACTACCATAGCTAAGCATGATTCTCATTTTGCATGCATTTAGCCACTGCATTTTTTATGCTCATTTTCTATTACTAATTATGGCACTTCTCAACTTTTTCCTAGATGTCCTCATCTTAAACGCAACCCAGTCTTTTTACAAAGCTCTTGCCTCACGATCCCACTGTGATTTTTGTGCTAGGGCCTGAGAGCGCTGGTGTATTCTCTCTGCTACCTCCCCTAACCCTGGTGAGCCCGGTCTTCCAACACCCGTGTGTTCTCTGAGGGGCTGCCGTGCGCTAAGGCGTTGCCATTGGCTCCTCCCATCCAGCTTTTAGTGAATCAGATCCAAGACTGAGCAGCCCCCCACAACCACAAAACAATTGGCCCTGCCATCTTCCGTCTTTTTGCAAAGAAGCAGGTGCCCTCGCCTTGTTCCCAGGGCGTCAGAAAGTCAGGCTGTGGCCCAAGGAAAACAAGGCCAAATAGCTCAGAGGGATGTAATTCACTTTGTCGCTTGGCCCTGTTCGTCTGGTTTGCAGGGGGACCCCTGTGTGGGAAAGAGGGCTGAGTTAATGGAGAGGGAGGCACTGAGGACGCCACAGGGAGAAGTAGGAAGGGAGAGAGGGCAAGGACGGGGTTATTTTCTGTAGTTCTGCGTGCGAGTGGAGCTCATCTTTCAGAGAAGGAGCAGCGTGCCTAATGTGGTGTGTCATTCCTGATCTGAAAAATGACTGTATGCGTGACTCCGAATCCAATCAGAACCGCAGGCCCCTTGGCAGGGTGCCGGGCAGGCTGGGCTTGGAGCCCGAAGACCCCAGTTTACATCCAAGCTCTGCTACTTTTAGGAGCTCCCTGACCTCCGTCTTCCTCCAGCCCCACCTTCGGGCTTCTAAGCCCCTCCCATCCCCCCTCGACACTGCTGCCAGATGTACCTCCTTTAACACAAATGTGACCGCGTTACAGTCCTACTCAGAACCTTTCTTTCGTCGTGCCTGGCTGGCTCAGCCGGTGGGGCGTGGGACTCTTGATCTCAGGGCTGTGGGTTTGGGCCCTGCAATGGGTGTGGAGATTACTTAAAAATAAAATCTTTAAAAGACAACAACAACAACAACCCCCTTCTTTCACTCCCCCTCGCATACAGGTTGATATTCAGCTCCTGGGAAACACGGCAGGGGCCCTCTGTGATGCAGCCAGCTCCCATTGGGCCCCTCCGCTCCTCACCCCTGTGCTCTAGCAGCACAGAACTGCTGTGCTGTGGGTCCCCCCAGCCTCCTGCCGTCGCCTGTCCTACCAAATCCATATGATTTTCCCTCCTAGGCTGTGTCAGGTGACAGTGGAGACTGATGAGACTCATCAGCATAGCCTTGGTACTCACAAAATGACCAAGAGATGCTTGATAATCGTTATTTACTTTACACGATCGGCACTTGGCGTTTTTAGCCTTAAAATGATTCATCTTACATGCAAATGAATAAGCACCACACTTTTTTTTTTTTTCTTTGCCTTTTAAAATTAGATCCACTCTTGAAGGCTAAGTGTTGCTCCACGCACAACCTAGAGGGCAGTTTCTGGCTTTCCAGGGCCAGCCTGCGATGAGCACGGGCGGACTCTAGATGGCGCAGCGGGCTAACCTAGCAGCCTGCCCGCGCGCACGGCCGGCGCCGCGGGTACGGAAGGCGCGGCTCTGCCGCAGAGCCCTGCATTATTGATCGTGACGTTGCCGCAGAGGTGGGCGGAACCCGCCGCCATCTCGCCAAGGCTGCCGCATCGCCGGCTTCCCTTCGAGAAGCTCTTCCTTTCCTGCGGAAAGTCCTATGATGTGTGAGGAGCGAGCTCCCGAGTGCACACGTTTATTGTTTCCATTCATCGGAAGATCGGACTTTTCAGTAGTCAGAACCATTTTTCTTTCTCATTGTCATTGTGAATAGCGGCACCAAAGGACAGCAGCTGTACCTTGTGAAAGTCACTGCTTCTGAAATCAATATCTATTTTAAAATATTACCGCGTGTGATTAAAAGGCAATAAAATCGCGCGGTGGGTGGGGTGAGGGTGTTCATCATCCAGGTATTAAACGTTCTTATATAAATATATGAAAATACTTTCGATGTAAAATAATAGCATTATATTGATGTATCTACCGCTACATGGTCAGCCAGCATTTTAACCGGAAACCTACACATTCTATATGAAAATAGATGCTCTGAAACTAAACAGTGGGTGGGGCTTCCACGCGATCCATGGGCGGCATCCCTCCCTTCTGACCAGCAGAGGGCGGTAATGCATCCTCACAAAAAGGGGGATCACACACCCAAATGTACATATATGCTGCAAACATTGTGTTCTAACAGGAATCTTAAAATGTGTGTTCACTCACCAATCCTTTTGTTTGGCCAGTGCCTGTCTTTGAATATGGATTTGCTGATTAGAGTGCTGTCTTGTCCCTTTTCTTTGTGAACCACACACATAATGCATCCTCTATGTTCTATCATTTGGGTTACCTTAGTGAAATGAGAGTTCAAAGACAGTTCAAAGCATCTCGATTCAAGAATCCTTCTAGACACTGTACTGAGAACCACCAAATATAATTCAACAACACTTTTTAAACGACTTCCCTTCATTGAGTCTTTCCAGAGCAGTAAGCTTAATTTTCATTGGGAAACACTCCTCTCTGGGTACTCTAGTATAGCCAGCTTTAATAATATGTAGTCAAAGTGTGTAATTATTGGAATGCAGTCAAATGGAACGGACAGGTTAGGAAGGAAGCAAACACACACAGTGGGCCTACTAAACAGCATCCTCCTGCCATAGCAGCCTCTAGCCTTCGGTGGGCTATGGGCAGTCGTGTCTTAGCTCAGGCTGCCATCACAGAATACCATCGGCTAGATGACTACTGAGCCACAGAAATTTATTTGTTACAGTTGTGAAGGCTGGGAGCCCCCAGATTAGGTGGCAGCATGGTTGTGTCCCGGTGAGGACAACTTCCTGGTTCATAGCCTGCCGCCTTCTCACTGAGTACTCACATGGTGGAGGGGAGAGCTATCTGGGGTCTTTTTTATCAAGGAAGTCATCCTACATGAGGGCTCATGACCTAATAACTTCCCAAAGACCCACTTCCTATACCCTCACATTGAGGGTTAGGATTTCAACATATGAATTTTGAGGGGATACAAACATTGGTTCCATTACCATCAGTTTGTTTCACAAAGGAAATGGGGAGTTAGTTAATCTGGCCAACCAGTTACATGGAGGTCAGTGATGAGAGCTTCTACTTGAACTCAGAAAAATAATAATCATTTTTTCCAAAGACCGATAAATACATATACTAACCTGTCACTTAGCCAAACCCACATGGAATGTGATTGAATCAATCCCTAAATCACACGCTGTCCTAACTTAAGACCTAGCAGAACAAAAATGAACTCATTCTTAGCCCCAGCGAGGTTGTCAGCTGATGAGGCTCATCCACAAAACTCATCCCAAAAGTGAGTTGCACGTCAACATTTCAGAGTATGGAAAGCAACTCTCCAGTCCTGGCTGCCGGCTGCCAGAAGGCCATCCAGGTCCTGTGCCAGTTGCATAGACATTACCCTTACCGCCCCTCGGATTTTATGTCCGAACTCAGTATATTCAACTGCAGCAAGCAAGAGTTTTAGTTCTGAAATTCAGGTGCGTGATAAATAGCATATATTCTTAGCATCCTGTAAATCAAGTTAAATGTGACTCCAAGTCCCCTTCCACAGAGATGATGGGCAATTGGATCAATTATTATCGGGTGCCTGCTCCATTCTGACTTTTGACAGGGTACTTTCTGCAACCCACAGGCCACATTGTTCCAGCCCCTGTGTTCCTTTGGATCTGGAGTCTGCTGTTTCTGTCCCACTCTCGGGGTATGAGAATCACCTGTGACCTGGACGGTCCTGCATCTGGGGTCTACTCTCTCTGACTCAGGTCATCCCTGGGGATGTCCTTCCATCTCTGCAGCACACAACCAAGGAGTGAGAGCAGCCCCCACTCTCACAAGACTTCTGACTCCTCTTGGAGGGGTGTCCCTCCCTCAATGCCCAGTTGCCTCCTAAGACATGCCTCTTTCCCCTCCCACTCTAGGGTAGAATTTACTGTAAACAGTACCAGCAGTAAACCCTTTCAGACGGGATCTAAAGGAACGAATAGGTGGTAGAAACCGAGTTTGTGGATTGGCACTGCATGGAAATAATGTTCTAATGGAGACAACGTAATGTTAAAGATTCAGAGCAGTTTCAACCAAGAATATTTTGGCTTTTCTGGACAGTTCTAAAAAGAGGAGGATGGAAACTTCCTCACCATGCAGAACACGGGGATTCTGTTGTTGGGCTCTTGAAGCATTTCCACATCTAAACATTTCATTTTGTTAACCAGCATTTCCAGCTCATACATTCCTTCAGTCCCAATTGTAATTAAGCAAGTGCATTAAATTTTTAGTACCAGCAACAAATATCCCTCCAGCCCAAGAACTTTCTATCACAGTTGCACACCTTTTCTACTATAGAAAAGAAATAACTCAAGTTTATGTGATGCAAATGTTGGCTTTGAGAAAATGAATATGGAAGCAAATCAGGAATTAATCAACAGGAAGCATAGCAGCGGGAAAGAGAACTGGAACTCACAGCTCTTGGGAACTGGAGGGTCACCCCAGGTTCGCAAGCCACTTTCATTTGGGAGCTTGATATTTCAAAAGCCCGTCCATGCCATTGTTGGAACCCTCTGCAGCAACACTGTCCAGTAGAACGTTCTGCAATGATGGAAATATTCCATACTATAGAGCTATATTGTGCTTGCTATTAGGCATTTAAAATATGGCTAGTGCAATGGAGAAATGGAATTTAATATTTTATTTAATTTTAATTAGTTTATCTTAAATTTAAATAGGTGTGGCTAGAGGCTACCATGTTGGACAGCACAATGAGCTATGATTTATTCCTCACCCACTTCCATAAAGGTTCTAAGATAACTTACCAAAAAATCAAACACAGCATGAAATAAGAAAATTGAGATTTTCTAATGAAAACAATAAAAGAAGAAAGTAGTTCTGTAAAAGCGAGCAGAGACACAGATGTTCCCAGACACATGGAAGGAATTAGTCATTGCCTTTTAAATTAAATTTATGTCTAAATTGCTAGAGACTAAGGCAAAATGAAAAGTCACGCAAAAGGCAACATTAAAATTTGTAGTTAACAATTGTTTGGCTACCAGCAACCCCTATTTTCTGGGGGCAGTTGGCTTACCCCGGAAGCCCCACACCCTCACCCATCCCACTTACTTGGTTATGGCAGAGCCCCTCAGGGCGACACTAAGCCAGGCCAATCACAGTTGTTTTCTTGAGAGACTGGACATGGGACATAGGAAGGTGTGATCTCTCCCAGGGCTGATGGACAGCAGGTGTGAAACTTGGGGTCTGCAGAATGAAGGGCAGAAGACTGCGGTCGGCACCAAGGCAGGAGAACGCAGTGTGGTGAGGATCACACACACAGGTTCTGGGTCCGCACCTGTTCTCACACTTGGGACTGTGACATTGGCCATATGCCCTAACTTCTCCAGGCTTCCTTCTCTGTAAAATGCGAGTGGTTTTCGTTCAGATCTCATAGAGTCATCGTGAAAAAGTAACTGCGAGCCCATGATAAGTACTTCACAAATATTACTACTAATTATAATAATATTAGTGGCAGAATGCCACCAGCTTCAAGTTGCTAGATCTGTGGCATTTGCCAAAATCTTAGCAAGTGCCAGCCCTTGGGCTCCATGAGATACACTCCTCCCCCATATCTTAAAATAATGTTTCTATTTGGCTTCATCTGATTTGGGTTGGGTTTCTGGTAACTGTATCCAGCAGAGATGTCACTCGTCTGCCGTTTTTTTGGAATTCCAACTTGTTTTCTTCCCTCTGCAGAAAGCCGGGGTACCTAACCTTCCGTAGACTCTGACCACAGGGGAGGGGCATGGGATAGGAGAACTCGGATGGACACAACACTTAATGGACATAGGCTACATTTTTGGTTGCCCAGAACCCATAGACCCTTCTTATTTGGGAATAAACCTTGGTGGGAGACAGGGCCCCACCTCTTACTACGGAGCCAGAAGTTGCCACACCATGTTTTTCTTCATCCACTGGCAGCTACCATGTGGATGTGAAACCTGGGCTGGGCTCATTGAATGCTCCCAACGGGGACTTGGGAAAGAACAGAGACATGACTTGTGGTTGTCATGGTGGTGGTGGTATAGATGTCCAGAGCCATGCTGTGGAGGGGACAGCACCCTTGCTCCTGCCATATGACCCTCACGAAAAGGCTCCCCCTGCCCAGACTCCCATTTTCCGTGCCTAGCTCTGCAGCCTTCCTGTGGCTGCTGTGAGCTACCCAACGCGTTGCCAATGAATTCCTTCTCTGCGTAAACTAGCCAGGAGGGGGGCCTTTCCTTTTCACCCCCTTGAGTAATTAAGTGAGCAAAAATGAACACAGCCTGTTCGTTGGGACTTTGCTGTGTCACCATTAACATTACTATTCCAGTCCCCAAGGTGGTCACATTTCTAGTGATTCTCACACAATCCTATGGTGCTCAGACTGCCACTCGGCCACGTTTGGCCGGATTATTATACCACAGCACAGACTGTGATGGAAGAAGGCAGAAGGACCGTGCAGTTACCAGGCATGCCACACTGCTTTCAAAGTTACCAGTATCAGATCTGGGGCTGGTGTTTTATTCTGAAGAGAGGAAAATAAGTTGTCTTCAGAATGACTGCATTTATATAAATACCTAATTTTCATCTTCTATTTAAAGTGGATGTGCCAGAACCTCTCTAACAACATTCTTATCACTTATGTTAATAAATTAGTATTCTCTATTAGTGACACACTATAGTTCCACCTTCTCATATAATTTTCTTCCAGAAAAAAATTAGTTTGACAGTTTATCCACAATGTGTTCTTCTCTGACCTTTAGGCAGACAGGGGCATGTAGCCCCACTCCCCAGCGCGGTTCCTAGAGAAAAGTAGACAATAAATGTTTGTTGAACAAATGAATAAGGGAGCTAATGAGCTCGCGCACAAGCAGTATACCAGAGGAAAATGAAGAGTCAGCTATTTGTGTTTGCCTTGGAATGACAGACCTTCCATGAGCTTGGTAATGGAGAAAGAAAGAACAAGGCTGATGATCCAGAACATCTACTCATAGCAAAAATATGAGGCTGTTTTGATGTTTGTTTTTCATTGTGAGGAAAATTTACAATTAAGTCCTTCTGTTGAGGTTACAAGCTCACCCAGCGGGAGGCTTGGACTCAAGCAGTAAGTAAGGCACTCAGTGATGGGGCAAGTTGCGATCATGTATGGCAGTGCATATGCGAACACCCCTGTACAAGGAAGAATCCATCTCTGGCATTTGAGGGTTCTCTTTCACTCCTGTCTCTTCCTTCATCCAGCTTAGCTCTCCAGCAACACCTGGAATAATAGACTCTGTAGCCGGCTCACATCCATTTGGATGATTTGGCTAATCTCTCAGGGACTACATTTCTGATTTCCCCCCATTCTTTAGTTCATCCAAAACGAAGGAGGAAAAGAACCATTTCTGACACCATTTGTTATCTATATAAGTAAAATTACATTTCTGTTTCCTTTTGCTTTGACCACATCAGGGGAACATAGCTAGACAGATTTTCACGAATTCCAGACTGCCTAACTTAAAACATTGACCAACTGGTCTTTGAAAGATTCAGTCTGGGGACCCTAGACTTTCCTTCAAGAGATAGCAGCCATCCACCAGGATAGTGGATGTGAGGTATAGGAGGCCAGGGTGACTGCTGACCAGGTGAGATGTGCTTTGACCTGAAGATAAATCTAGACACAGCCACACAGGCTGACAGTCTGGATCACAGAGTTTGTTGGCTTGTTTCGTTGGTTGGTTGGTTTGGATCACATGTGTGAAGCTGAGTGGAGCTGCTTTTCACGGGGAACTGTCTCTAGCCTAGTGCTTCTCAAACAAATACAAATAGTGTGGGGATCATGGTTCGGGATCTGGATGGAGCTTTTCTTACCAGCTCTGGGGTGGCGTCCGTGCTGGTGGTCCTCAGACCCGCCCTGGGAGTAGGATGCTCAGGCTCCAAGGTGAGCAACACAGCTGTTTATATAGCGGTGGATGACAGTTTCCCAGAGCGATTTCAGGTACAGCAGATATACTCAATAAAGGAAACGTTCTCATTCCCATTTCCCTAAAGCCGTGGCTTTGGAGAAATCTCAACTTTGGCTGCAATTAGAATCACTGGGAGAACTTTTAAATGTCGTAGGACCCACCTCTGACCAGTAACATCAGCATCTACACGGTGAGATCTAGGTGTCAGGATTTTTAAAGCTTCCCCAGGTGATTCCAACATGCAGCCGGAGTTGAGACTGGCTGCCCAAAGCAAACCTTTACCCATGAGTCATTGAGATTAACAGCCCGCTCTCCCTCTCCCTGCTCCTTCTCCTGGCCTCCTATGTTTGCAACGACACTCTACTCCACCTTCCTGGGGGCCATGTTCCCCACCTTGGATTTGGGAACAGCAGTCATCAGCTCGTCTCCCAGGAGAGTCCATCACTCTGACATCAAGCCTAACTGTGCTCTCAGGTCTGACACTAACTCTGCTATCTGCCGGCATGTGGCTCCCAGAGTGTGTTTCTACACAACACCAATCCCACAGGGATGCCAATAGATGCCGTTTGAAAAGGTAACTACCGTATGTGCTGTGCAATTCAGGTACTGGGACATATAAATTTGGTGTCTAATTCACAGGAATAATTAGAGGATAGCTGGGCTTAACTGAGTCATATTGTTAACACACAATAGAATCTAATTTAATTTAAAAATAAAGGAATAGTAAGAGAGGGCTACTTAAGGCAAGGAGATCTTCAAGGAGGATGTAATAGCTTTCTTTAAGACCTTAAAGAATGAGTAGGATTTGGATGTGCAAGAGAGTGGAACGAAGAGCATTTGCAGTGGAGGAAACAGCATGAGGCAGAACGTCAGAGCAGGGATGAGTGGGGTGAGATGGGCTGTAGGGGGCAGGGCATGGGATGTGAGGATAGGGAGTGGACTGGATACAGTAGTGATGGGAATACTGAGTCTATGCAAATCAAAGAGCTTGCTCATAAGGTGATACCCCATCTTCCCAGTGAGATGATTTTTTAAAAAATTAATCGCCATCCTGAATGTATAAACTTGTAAGCATACAGACAAACTAATCAACATCTTAGCACAATATTTAGGAGAACTTCTTTTTAATTAACATATAATGTGTTATTTGTTTCAGGGGTACAGATCTGTGATTCATCAGTCTTACACAATTCACACACTCACCTAACACATACCCTCCCCAATGTCCATCACCCAGCCACCCCATCCCTCCCACCCCCCTCCACTCCAGCAACCCTCAGTTTGTTTCCTGAGATTAAGAGTGTCTTATGATTTGTCTCCCTCTCCGGTTTCATCTTATTTCATTTTTCCCCTCCCCTATGATCCTCTGTCTTGTTTCTCAAATTCCTCATATCAGTGAGATCATATGATAATTGTCTTTCTCTGATTGACTTATTTCACTTAGCATAATACCCTCTAGTTCCATCCATGTCATTGCAAATGGCAAGATTTCATTTTTTGAAGGCTGCATAATATTCCATTGTATACCTAGCGCAATATTTATTAACGTCATACCCTTAATGTCACAGGATGAGTTCTCTGGAAGCAGATGTTGAGAGGGAGCTTGGGGTGCGAAATGTTTATTAGAGATTAACACCCATGGAAGGAAGGGGGAGGGAGCAGGATTGGGCAGGAAGGCGTTAGATTGTGAGATAGGCTTGACAAAGATGCCAAAACCTGCAGGGAGCTGAGGGGTGGAGGAGATGTTGCCTATCAGCTACCCCAGGTAAAGCCAAGTGTCCGGGTCTTTGCCTTTCCACCTTGCTCAATCCCGGGCTGTGGGCTGCCCTGAGAGTGAACCCTTGTGTGGGGAGCAGTCTTCATGGAAAGGCCCAATGGCGCTGAGAGCTTGGATGCAACTCACTCCCTAAAGGCAACCTGGGCAACACATCTCCGTGTCTAATGCGTGTGCTGTTCTAGAATCTTGTCTCACACAGTGTACAAATGCTTGTCTCCATTCTCACTTTTTATAACTCAGATTTTGAAACACTTCTTACGTATCTTCATATGCATCGTTGTCATCACTTAACAGTTCTATTTCAAGTCGTGCATCACAATTTACAGAGCACATCATCTTTACAGT